CGCGGTCAGGGCAGCGAGCTACCACCAGCGCGGTTTGTTTGGGTTATGAGCGCACCGTTTATTTTGATTTTCAGATAGTGTGGTTACTTGACATGATATAACCGAGTGAGGAAGGTAGGTAAGGGTGCCGACTGCGGATAAATATTACCTACAGTGAGTAGCTGCGGGTCAAGTGCTTCGGCTCGTAGAATGCAGAATTATAATGACGGGCATGCTAGGTATAATTACTTAAATAGATAAATGCTGTTTTGCGACAATAATTTTATTTGAAGAATGCATGGATTGACGAATAATGCGGCAGTAAATGTAAACATCTTGTTATAAAGTATTCTATTCAATTACATAGTCACAGTGCTTATAAATGTCAGGCATATAAATGTTCTGTGAATGTCTTAAAAATAAAACATTTATTATTTACGTTGAATTGCAAACCGTTCTTTACATATCCATTTAGAAGGCAGTAGAAGACATTTAGAAGGCAGCTGTGAATGTGAAAGAGATGTGAGACGTTTCAATTGTTAAATCAGAACGGAACGCACGACAGACAATGGCTGGCGCCAGGCTGACGGTGCTTCAGGAGTGCCTCTGCCATCGTTGTTTGGAAACTGACTTCGAAATTAAATCGATCTGTTAATTTTTTTACATATTCTCAGAAGGCAATTCAGGATCGGTACACTATAAAAGGCATTTCAGCATTATCTCGATCCGGATCGAACATAATAATTCCCTCATGTTGGAAACTATACCTATCGAAAGAAAAACAAATGCCTATTGCAGTATCCTAAACAACTACTATAGGGACCCTGCCAGGAATACGTTGGGCAGACAACAAACAATCCTGATGATCGATTATGTGCTTATTTGTTGATGTAATCGGTTTATTTATAACTTTCACCATCAAGGTGTTTCTTTCTCTCATTTTTTTTCAATGCACTATGCAGATATAGGTATATATGTATTCGAAATGGTGGAAAGTTATTTTTTCAAATCAAATACCTATGTTTTCTACGGCAGTCGTTCTCCAACGATTTTCTAAAAAGTTAATCATGTCTGAATAAATAGAATTAGGTATCTTGTCTCAGTTTTTACTGTCTTATTCACGAACAATAAAAAGCATAATAAAAAACAATAAAAAACTTAAAAAGTTTCCCAGAACAGGTAAACGGCACAATTAAACAAGGAGACCACGACGTTTTCCTTCGTGTTTTGTCAACTTGGAACCGTGAGTTACCAAGTTCTAGTCAGTGGAGTGTGGCCGAAACTCGAGCCGAGCTGGACTGGCCGTGTTTGTTCCCACACAGACGCAGACACAGGGCTGGTCTGACCCTGAACTCGGCTGAAACCCCGGTGCGGAGCGGCGCCGAACACCGGGTCAGAATACTAACTAACCGGGCGAGACGGTGTAGCAAGCAGTGAGCTCTCAGCGAGAGGGCCGTAGGGACGCGGAAGTTTCCGCAGTGAGAGCTTTTCGACAAAGAATGCAGCCGTGCAGCGCTGAGTGAAGGGGCGCCATGCGACTCTTGCCAGACATATGTAGGTATTCTGAAGTCAACTTTGTTGTTAGAATGAAATAAAGTACATAGATGTACTCGTACATACATGAGCATATAATGTTATAACTCTCAGTTTCACTCACTTCTTTGTCCACCAAAATGAGCCCTTATTATTATTTTTTACGAGAAACATTGCGATCCATAAAACGTCATGATAGGCCGATGGCCAGGTTTTCGAAACGTGTAGAAGTCGGTGACTCGGGCCTGACTCACCTGAACGTGAATGGGGTGACCGATGGACGTGATGGTCCAAACAGCATTCGGCCGCCTCTTTCCGTTCTGATGTCTCACGGCACTGGCGCTGTCCTAGCTGTCATCCCTCCTACGTACGGACTACGGAGCAAAATATAACTCGTACGAACCAGCACACCACTCCGGAGAACCAACACACTTTTCGGTGGAGCCAACGCACAACTCTGTACGGGCCAACACCACGACTTTACACACTACTCGGCCCGTGCCGCGTGCAGACTAGCTCACAACTCCGGCCGGTCGACCACGCACGCGGCCGTCCGTCCGAGCGTATCGATCAATAGCAGTGCTGACGGGCGCGAGCGGGCAATGGAAGCGCGCGAGCAGTGTGCGGTGTGCCGACGATCGCCAGGCCCGTCGAGCGCCCCTCACCATGACATTAGCAATAAAGGCGTCAGCTAATGCGTAAGCGTGTTCACTGTATGTCGACCTTCGCTCGTATGTGATAGATAGGTAGGTAATTGGTTACATTCTGCGATGCAGCATGCACCATACATAACAGGAAAATAAAAATATATTTGGAGCATGGGAGCAAACGACATGGGTGTCGTTTTGTATGGGGCGGTAGGGCCCGAGCCCTACCGGCAATAACTTTGGAGTTTTAACGTGAGCCCTATATAGCACTGCATGGTAAGAATGGCATTTGTATCGTAAAATTAACCTGCGCCCTGATGGGCTGATGGGGGGGGGGGGCGGCGGCTATTTTTTGCCCCCCCCCCCTCCAGACTTTTCGATATATCTCCAGAACCGCTGCGCCGATCGTCACCAAACTTTCAGTACCCTCTCGGGCATCAATTTTTTGTGACCACAATTTTTTCAAAGGCTATGATAGGCTGGCCGCAAATGACGTCAGAGTGACGTTATGTTCTGCCGTTTTCGACAAAAAAACAAGGTTTCGCGGGAAGAGCTGTCAGGCCTATAGCTTTGAAGATACAAAAAAAAAACGTTTGAGACATACCTAAAAGGTGTAGATTACCAGGGCTACAGAACAACGATCTCAGAAATTTGAATTTTTTTTAATTTTGACCCTCAAAAATCAAAACACTATTTTTTTTAGATATAATTGCCCAAAAATCCAAAAAGTTTTCTGATTTTCGAAAACGCGGAATACATGTGATAGCCCTTACCGATTTCTATTCACATATCAAATTTCAGATCGATACCTCTTTTTTTGGCCAAGGTATAGCGAAAAAAACTGTTCAAAATTGATGACGGCAAATTTTTAAACTCAATTTTAAGCGATTCTAGACCATCTAGCGCAAAACAAAGACCACCGTTAGACTCGCCGTGACGAGTTGCATTCAATGAGTACCCATTTTATGCAAAAATATCAACTTTGAGATTTGACCTTTTTTGACCTGACATTGACCTGACCTCCACCAGGATGTGATCTAAATTGTTCCTGATGGTCTTATAACCAACACTAGTTTGAAAATTAAAAATTGGCCATAAAACATGCATCACACAGCTCTAGTAAAATTGGGTTCATGTGCTGACCCTTGGTGACCTGACCTGTGACCTGACCTGGTACTATCAGTGACCTCTAATAGCAACATATGTACTAGGTAGGCAACTGACGACCTATCGCTGATTTTCGATAAAATGCGTTTTACTCGACGTTATAGCGCATTCCCTAGAAGACCTGTGACCGGCAAAACGTTTTATGTTTGACCTGACCTGTGACGTCATCGGTGATCCGAGGTCAATGAAATTAAACTTCCTTCGACAAATTTGACAGAGCTTTCGAACACCGTTTAAATTTTGCGGATCCGTCCAGTAGTTTCGGAGATGTACGAGGGGGGGGGACAAAAATAGCCCCCCCCACCAGGTCGCATTATAAACAGACACCACCAGGGCGCGAGTTAACCATTAGCCCTATCGATATTATTCAAAAAGTGACGCCCGTGAAGAAAGGCTCAAGTTACTTACTCCGTTTCTAAAAAACATTGATGGTGCAAAATGAAAGTTATCTTAGCCTATACCTACCCACTGACGTATGACACACTTCGTCGGACAGCTAACTCGGGAACCAATAGAGCTACAGCGCCGCGGAAAATGGCGTATTCGGTAGCTCTTACAGCTCTCTTTCTCCCACATGTCCGGTCAAATCTGCAGATTTGACCTCAGGTCCAGAAGGCAAACACTTTAAAAATTGCCGTTTTCACGAAACATGATTCTCGGTAGTCGGTAGTAACTTAGTTTTGACTCAAGAGAGCCGCGACATTACTTTTGCCAGGATCGTGTTGCTCTCGTCGAGACACGATGAATGAACTCTAAGTTGACCTTGAATGGTCATTTTGAAAATCTGACCTCAGGTCAAGATCATGACCTAATCGGAAAGGGTCATACCGTCATGCTGCATACCAGTTGATCCGAACGCAACTGACGTGTTTTCACCGCTCTAGAACGTCTACCAAAAGTTAAAGCAAAACTAACACTTTTGGTGACCTTTCTCTTTCAAGACCTGAGATGATATCAGGGGTACACAGAGGGATCACGGGTGCAATTTTCAGATTCAGTGTCTCATGTTCAGATACCTATATAAACCGATGTTTGCGAGGGCTTAGAATGACATTCGTCCAAAAGAGGTGCATTTCAGTTTTCTCCCATTAACTCCTATAATGGAGGCTGGAGAGGCCGCCAAATTGACCGATATTAAAAATATGTTATATGTATAGGTACGTTTTATACATACTGCTACCCTTATCAATCGCTGAAAGTTTCAAAGCGATCATTTAGTTGGTGTAGCTACAGCAGGCCTTTGGGCTTTTCTTAGATAAGGTCACTTGACATGACCTGGTAAACTGACCTGGTGAACTGGTCTGAAATTTTCACGTGTGGTTAAGATGTATAAATATGTGGCGCCGCCGTTTTTTGAGATATTCGAGAAAAACCTGAGAGGGGTGTGAAAACACCCCCTGCCCCCAGCACAGCGCGGGTAAGTTTCCAACAAGTTATGCGTCGGTCGGTTTGTTACGCCGGACTTTTCAGCCCCTAAATCTGACAAATTTCCCTTCATATTTATGCAATCTATCAGAGCTTCCATATTTCCATATATGACGCAGAAAAGACAGGTTCAAGCTGTTTTTTTCTGCTCGCAGCATTACGAATCTCGCGAGTTTCCTAGCAACCTCTTTCTATTTAAGCAAAAACCTGTTTTATAAGCTGGTTGCCATGCAACGAAAGAGTAAGCTCTGGCAGTAAACATCTTTGACAATTTCCATTCTTTGCCTAAACAATTAATTATTTTATTAACATGAAATAGCGGTTCGTAAAGATTTCAATTTTAGAGCGCGCTGTCAGCGTGCTCTCAGCCAAGGCCGTATAGAGATAGAGCCGCTCTCAGCTAAAAAGTTTGCAATTAGTTTGCAGCTAAAATAGGTAGGTTCCTAATTAAGTGTTTACCGGTAAATGTCAAGTTTACGTCCTAAGCACATTTCAATGATACATATACCGTGTTTACCTACTTACCTTGTATTAATTGAACTTTTTATGTAAATGGCATAAAGCTGATATAGGTAGTTCATATTTAAGATAGGGGTGCTGGTCATTCGCAGGCGGTTCGTATCTAAATTCTAAAAGGTCGCCAAGATAGGTAATATCAGTCGGGGGAGGTTTGGTCAATCGTTGTCATTTTTAGCACGTGCTATTTTTGTCACACGTGTTAAAAATGACAACGATTCTGCTATTTTTGACAATGATGAGGCCGATTTCACTCCTCAGCGAGGAAATCAAGATTTTGGAAAGATAAACACTGATTTTGGAAAAGAAGTGCTGCCACCTGGTGCAAGACGAAGAAGCCAGCTTTAATATGCCCGTTATTTGCATGGTAGGTTGTTTTGTGGCCTGAAGTTGGAACTTAAAATTGAAGCATCCGAAAATGATCGATATTGATCGAAAACATGATGTTGATGAAAAAAATAATGTTTTAAGTTGAGAGAGGAGGCAATTTTATCCAGATGCAGTAGTTTACATCTTGAAATTATTTTTGCTAATGACGGCTGCTAATTATCCCTCATTACATGGCAGTCGTCGTAAGCAAAAATAATTTCAAGAAGTAAACCACCGCATCTGGATAAAATGGCCTCCTCTCTCAACTTAACATATCATTTTTTTCATTCACATCATGATTTCGATCAATATCGATCATTTTCGGATGCTTCAATTTAAAGTTCCAACTTCGGGCCACAAAAAAGGGTATACTTCAACGTTGGACTACCATACAAACAACGGTCATATTAAAGCTGGTTTCTTCTTCTTGCACCAGGTGGCAGCACTTCTTTTCCAAAATCAGTGCTTGTATTTCCAAAATCGTGATTTCCTCGCTGAGGAGTGAAATCGACTTCATCGTTGCTAAAAATAGCTGATAGCGTTGTCATTTTTAGCACATGGTTGCCAAAAATGGCATGTGCTAAAAATGACAACGATTGACCAAACCTCCCCCGACTGATATCACTGGTTGAAAGCAGATTAACTTAGTTATTTGCTCGTGATCATCAACTGAAGTCTCTGTTGCATTGCCATTGCAATTGGAAGATAAAGTAGGTTTCCAATAAATCGTATTGTTTCACTTGGGGTTGTTTTTTAGCCAGCCAATGTTATAGGTATTCATGTCAGTAGTAAAGATGGGTCCTGTTCAAGTATCTGCAGCCGTTTTGGCTCCTGCGGTCAGAAAGGTGGGGCTTAGCTAAGCGGCCAATCACTGATTGAGGTGACTCGCAGACCTCAATTGCCACTGTCCTGATTGACTGCCTAGCTAAGCCCTGCCTTTTTATTGCAGCGGCCACAGACACTTGAACAGGGCTGAGGTTTTACGCTTCTTTTTGCAACCAAAGAGAGGTGCTATACTGATACCAGAGAAGAGAGATGCTTCTTTCTAGCCAAACCGAAACAAACCTAACCTAACCTTTAACCTACTACCTTAAACCTAATGTGTACAACCTAAAACCTACCACCTGGCACCTACAACCTAAAACTTACCACCTATGATGACCTAATGCCTACAAACCCACAACCTACATCTCTGGGTATAGCACCTCTCCTTGGCTGCAAAAAGAAGTGTGATGCCTGCTTTACTACTACCTTCATGTCTATACGTTTAATCAAGAGCTTTTGCAGTCCAATGATCATGCTAGGCAAGGATATTTCATTTCTTGTTTTGAAATCATTTCCCTTTGCAAGAATGCTTCCTTATGTAAGAACTGACAGTGCAGTCACCAGTGGCAAGGTTAATTCTCAAGGCAATCAGCATGCTGTGGGTCAGAACTAGGGCAGGGCAGGTACATAATTCCATCAAATGCTCAGTTTCTGTCTGGAGTCTCAGGCAAGTCTATGCAACTTTGATCTGATTGGTCAATGCGAATGTGATCAGCTTGGGCTGCAAGTAGTTTCTAGTCTCTACCAAAGAAGGAAATAGGTCTTCCTGTGTTAAATATCTTTGAAGTTCCTCATGTAAATATTCATTATTCTCTTTACTGATCTTTCTAGGCATAAAAACTCATAAAACTGTTGCAAAAAAACTTATTTTGGGGGAAGTGGTACCTATACTGGTAAGTGTAGGTACACTAAGTACTGCTTTCTGGTAAACATATGCTTTAAACTGGTAAATCTTTTGGATGAACAAAGGTTGATGAAAACCTGAACAATAAGAAATTCATAACAGATTTGTCTGGTTACCCAGTCTCCATTATTATCCATGATGCTTGATAGATGCCAGATATAAATAAAATCACTCCCATAAGTCCCACTCTATTTTCTGCAATATATTCTACTAGAGTACCTCTTGGCTGTTGCTCTGCACCTCAAATGCCACAGCAAAGCAACTCCAGTCTTCAGTGCTTATTGACATTGACCTCAAGTTGGCTACATGATGGATGGATGAAGGCATCATGGATGAAGTTAGAGTACCTGATCCATGGCTACATAGGTATTGGTTTGCCCTTGAGTCTGAATGGGTGATGCATGGTCAATATCTGTCAAAAGTAGAACAAAATTGTGACTCAAGTCAAAAGTGTTTCTTTTTGAAATCCACATAATGAAAAATATATTGATTACATACACTGAAGCAAAGCTGATGCTTTCTTCTAAATAATATCACAGAGCACACACAGCACATCAAATAATACATCACACAATTAATTTAACAACTAACAACAGCCAACTAACTTTCAACAAAACTAGATAAGTGTAAAACAATGGTTTTGTTGCGGTCCTGTAGTTCAGGTTACCTGCATTCAAATGTATACATAATGCACTGAGTACTTATACTGGTCAGTGGTCACTGATATTATACTGAAAATATGATTGAGAGCTCCTTACACAGGGGTGAGGATCCTCAGTTAATCTTCAATTCATCTTGGACATTGCCAACTAGTGTCCATGCCTAATCTATTTCAACTTTGATTAGGAACTTGTGACGATAGAACAGTCGTTTTGCTATACCACCGTATAACAGATCATGCTATCCCCTGCAGCAGTGCTCTGCATCCTTGTCGCTATCAAGCTCGCACAGCACATCCAACATTTTGGACACAAATCTCTGTCGCAAGGAGCGACCCACATGTATTGCGTCGTAGCACTCATCGATCACATTTTGTATGACGGGGTCGTCAGACTTCCTCAAGTCCTTGACTGGGCTGCAGACGCGCTGGGAGAAATCAAAACATTCTGGAAGCATGGATGACCACACTACCAATCCATCCACGTTAGTTTGTAATTCGTAGAAGAAAGCGTGCGAAGCGGTCAACCTTCTCTGGTAATCCGACTTTCTGCGCGAGCTTGTCACGTCGGAAGTGATGGCTTCCTCCAGTCGCCACACTACCGTGGTCTCCTTCACCAGTTGAGCTAGTACCTGTCGGATGCCGCTCACGTGCTCTCGCATCTTTAGAGTCCAAGCAATTTTGGACCTTTCAATTGGCAGTTGGACTGGTATCACACGAAGGTACCACATACCGCTATTTATCACCACGAGGTCGGGACATTCTGACGGCTTCTCTCGACACTCCATCACAAGACTTCTTAGCTTCTGCAAGAATAACGAGTAGAGTAACGGCCGTCGCCAATATTCTACTATAATCTCATCATTTTTCACGATTCTGCTGCACACAAAGTCCTTTTTCCCACACGCATCCCATGTGCAATACTTCTGCAGCGGGTGCAGGGGACCCGGTGGTATATCCTCCAGCCGAACGTCCGCGCCCGAAGTGCCGTTCCCCAGCTGGAGGAACGTGCGCAGCTGCTCCGTCAGGATTCGGCTGCGAGAGTCGCCGACGACCACGAGTCGCGCGGGCCGCCGCAGCCGCGCCGCCCGCCTCCGCAGGCACGCGTGCGCCTGGTCAGCGCCCAGAGAGCTGGAGCGACAGCCGCCGGTGAAGGGACCAGCACTCCGGTCCTCATCCCCTGGCAGGGAGTCGCCGATCCGGAAGATATTCAGACACCCTTCTGACGGCCGCTGAGGTCTCGCGATTCTGGACCGCCACCTCCAGAGAGCATGAAGAGCGAGCAGCACGATCAGAATTGCACCGGCGGAGTGGAGGCGCCGCCACCGGCGGGGGACGGCTGTGAGGCTGCCACACACCCCTGAACACGCCATCACCGCCCGCCAGAGCCTGCCACTGCAGTCTGGCATACCCGCACAGCGAGCATAGACGGACAGCGCCGTGCGGCGGCGGATGCCCTAACCCGCAGCTAACGGAACTCCCAAGTCACGTACCATTGACCTACATGCCCGGCTGGGATGGGACAACCACCGCTGCAGTCGCGCCGGCCGGGCGCCCGACCGTTAAACTAAAAGCGTCACCAGCGAGAAGGAACAGAAACACGAGATCGACACAAACAACGGGAAATGATGGCCTGCAGCGAGGGGGAATCGGATTGCTTTTAGACCGCTGTGGATATATTGGGCAAGAACGTTTGTTGAGCAAGTAGCACACGAATATTGTAAATAAGCAATTACATATAAAACGGACCGGTTTCGTCTAATGGCTTCATCAGCTAAAGCGATGAGTCAGACGACACTGGTCCCCTTCAGTTGAAATTGCTTATTTACAATATTCGCGTACTACTTGCTCAACAAATATAGGTCTATATTTCTGCCGTTATACAGAAGCATGCAGCAAATGAGAGAAGGAATATTTATGCGACTATAGATTATAGATAGCCAAATAAATAGCCACACGGATATTACTTCAGGCATCGGAATTGCTGCTGCTGTTGATTAGAAACGGAAAGTCGTTATACAGTCATCGTCCCATTGCGTGATAGTTTTTTGTGTGACAAAATCTAGGACTGCTTGAAGGCTATGCCTATCTCATCAGTCGATCGGAAATCATAGGACAGTGACTCGCGATGCTCCATACGATAGATTACGTCAATCATCAACATCGCCACGGTTCCCAAACTTGTACGGACACATATTCCGTCAGTCGTCGTACTCGTCAAAGGTGTTCACTCCACCAGTGATATTGTTAACTACATGTCAACCAAACGTTTTGGGTTTTGAATTTGAATGAGCTATCTAACGGAAAATCCAATTTTAACTCTCGCCCGTATTACCGTCTAACGTCTAACGTCTTTTACAGCATCTAACGTATAAAGATGGGTAGGGGAAGAGGTCCGTTACCCCCTCCCCCCGCCGTTTGGCCCAGGATCCAGCTAGAGCCTCGTGGAAAAGAAACTAGCGAGTGTTTTACAAGAAAAAAAAAAACGAGCGAGCGAAAAAAGCGAGCGTTTCCCCCGTGACGAAAGGAAGCCGATAATACTCAATGGCCACTGGTATTTCTAACTCATGCGGATTCTGAGGGCCAATTCCGGCCCCGGTGGCTCACACTACATAGCCTCATAGGGCGTCGTTGGGTTCTGAGGACTCAATTTTACACATGCCTTGAGGGCCTCAATCCGGCCTCTTAGGGCCCCTGACACAATTGTGACTTGCGAGAGCCAGTATCTTGACTGCTACTATTTTCTTTTTCAGAATAAACACTTCGGACTTCTTTTCCTTGACAGAGGAGACCAACCAGGATGGCACAACCGGCTAAGCCTCGTTTCTGGAAACCAGGTATATGTAGGGGAGAGTGGGGTAATTTGGCCGGTGGTGTAAATTGGCCGCCCCCACCTGTACGAAAGCTGATAAAAGTGAATGAAATAACTTTAGTCTCTATTCATTTGTCATCGGCAGAACTAACTCGAGAACAAATGTCAAAACTTTCCCCCTCTTAGTTTTATTCAAAATTGATAAAAGGTGAATTTCGTTAGAAAATGGTAACTTTTACTTCCGTTTAAAAATTTGTATAACATGAAGTATTTGGGCTGTAAACGAATTCCAACATTATAGTGCCATTTTTTAGGGTGTTCAGCGGTTCCAAGAGCAATTTCATCTAGTTCTGTACAGCCATGACGACATTATAGACAAACATTTTCAGAATGGCAATGTGGGGTTATTTGGCCGGGACTAGCGGGGCAACTTGGCCGGCGCGTTCAGAGTCACTATGCTGGGACGGCCGAGTTGTCATGGTCAATTATACCATAAAGGACATAATTCATGACCAACTTTGACTACCTTGATGCCATATTTCCTATTGGACAGCTGTAAGGGCATGTGACGTCATCAAAGGTTATCTAACGCTTTTTTTGCTAATAAATACTTACAGAAAAAAAGATACAGCCGCGCAAATGGTCTCATTGTGTTCAGCTCGTCAAGGCGCATCGAATGATATACATGATGACCTTGGACTCACGTAACCTTGAGGTCAAGCGACCTGAGGTAGCGTGACCTGAAGCCAACCTTTGACCTTGACCTCTCGAAGTCAACACATACATGTTTCAATGCGGAATGACGAGAGAATTACGATGGTACTTTTAGTTTTGGCCTAGCTTGATTTCTTCAAAAGCTATTCGTAAAAAACTGTCATCGCATCTAAAGCCGCTTTTTTGACTATTTTCGACCCCTGTGACGGCTGAGTCAACCTCCAAAATGCTTCAAATGCGTCGTAGGACACACGTCATTGCTGAATGTGAAGCTGACTCGCCTATAACAAAAATCAGGGCCTCAAACTAACACCGGCCAAATTGCCCCACACCCCCGGCCAAATAACCCTGCTAGTGGAGCAATTTGGCCGCTTTGCAGACCTTTGTAATACGTCACAATTTCAATATAAGTGGTTAATCTATCATTTCAAGTTTACTGTCCAAGAAAGTAAAATGTATGCCACACCTGTCAGCGTTGAGAAAATGCAGAAATGTGTTGTCGATTTTTAGTTACATCGTTTTATAAAAAAGCGGCCAAATTACCCCACTCTCCCCTATGCTATGTCTCACCACTGAAATACATGAGAATTGCTTGTAAGCAGTCGACCACAGGCTAGCTGCTAGGCATTTATGTGATGGTTGTCTATTTGTTCTTTTTTTACGATATATCCTAAAAGAAGCAGCGCTTTTTGTCAAAAGTTGTTGATTTGGGGTATTTTGTTTTACTGCCACTTTTCCAGAAAATAGTCAGTCACTCTTTGTGGGTCCGAACTCCGAACGTTTTTTTTCACTCTTGCCCTCTGTTTAGGCTAGAGTGTCAATGAAATATATGCTCTGAATTTCTGAAACCTTTCATCTCCCTCTGTCTGGCCGAGGGAGCCGGCTAACCATCGTTCCACCCCCGCGCCTCCCGTGGAGGGTCGGGACTCACCAGTCACCACAGCCGCTTAAACACGTACATATGCATCAGCCTCTTCAGTCTCTTAGTTGGCCTGGAAAACATAGCATTGGAAAACAAACATAACCCATTCCCCTGGCTTCTACTGCCTGGTTTGGAGGCGTTGGAGCTGGAACTTTTTCATCAAGTCTAGAGGAGGCTGACTATCCCATACTAATTTCAAGTGTGTTGCACTTGAGCTGGGCTTATTGTCTTAAGCACACACACAGAAATACTGGACTTATCTCCCCTCCTAACTTGCTTCATCATGCCTGAAGGCGCTGGACTTGCCCTCCCTTCTCTCTCTTTCGACCAGGCACGAATACGCCTGGCTCGCACTCCTCCTGACATGCCTGAATGCGCCCGATTTACCCTCCCTCTCCTCCTTCCAGGTACAGAGGCGCCCGGCTCATCCGAGGACAGATCCGACGCCGACCCACTACAGAGCACCACCTTCATATACAACCCACACGTATCGCTCGGCCTGCAGCAGCAGCGTCAGCGACTGCCCGTATTTGGTCTGAGAAACCACCTGCTGCACGCCCTGGAGGAACACCAGACCCTGGTGCTCGTGGGGGAGACGGGCTCGGGGAAGAGCACCCAGGTGCCGCAGGTGAGCGGGACATTGGACAGACTCGTCGGGTATTATAGGGAGGCTCGCTCACTTAGCATTTTGTGCAATATGCTACATAGACTCTTATCGTACAATTGTGTAGATCTTGGAGGTTCTTTCATTCTTTTCGTTTTGTTTTTCATTTTGATCTTTTGCAAATCTTGTTTTATCTTGCCTTAATGTTCTAGTCAACTCCATTGTGTTCTTATTTTGTTCGTTTCTTTTGACCCTTTCTGTCATCTTCGATTGCTCCTTGATGTTGCTCGTTCTTCCTAATTCCCTCTTTCAGTCATCACCTCGCACCCAGCCTCTCGCTCGCCACAGTAATACCCAGCCTCTCGCTCTCCTCAAAATGAGCGAAAACCGCAGTCGACGCGCCCGTAAACCCTAATAAACAAACCTCTCGCTCTCCCACAGTACCTGCACGAGGCCGGCTGGACGGACGGCGGCCGGCTGGTGGGTGTCACCGAGCCCCGTCGGGTGGCCGCCACCACACTGGCTCAGCGCGTGGCAGACGAGGTGGGCTGCCTGCTGGGCCATACGGTCGGATACTCCATACGGTTCGACGAGAGATTCGACCCTACCGCCACTCGTATCAAGGTGGGTGAGGAAATACCCGGTGGAGTGGGTGGGTTTCAACATTTTTATGTTTATTTGAGCGGTATCTGTGGGCTCTTGATCTGTTTTAGGTTGTAGGCTAGGTATATTGGCCGAAGGAGTATGAATAAAATGCGCATGTATTATTGGTATTCATCCGTCTATCGCTGTTGCTTTATTCTTCATCGAGAGGAAACCTGTTTGCATATTTCCTGAAGGTGCCATTGGTATGTTTTCTGTCGTCTGGTACCGCTGACTAGTTGTGATGATTTATCTCTAGGTGACGGAGACGTTTGACCCTATTATACCCGCATCTCCCTCTGTTCTGCAGTACATGACGGAGGGTATCCTGATCCGTGAGATGATGGCCGACCCGCTGCTGACCAACTACTCCGTCATCATGCTGGACGAGGTCCACGAGCGAACCATCAACACAGACATCGTCATGGGACTCATGAAGAAAATACTCAAGGTTAGTGACTCGTGAGAAAAATACTAAGGTTAATGATCACGATCACAGTGATCGATGGTTTAATGCGAGCGATAGAATTAGTTTTAACCTACATTTACCAATGTGCCATGATGTCTTTTCGTCCTGCACATAGTTTAGATAGGTACATCTTTTACTAACATTTCACTATTTTGATGAAAAATAGGTTCTATGTCGCTCTTATTTTATCATGATCATATCGATGCGTCTTCTGTTGTATACATTTTCTGCCAATAACGCTTTTCGGGGGATGTAGTTCAGCCATTGATGTGGCTGTGTCATGTGATTTTTTAATGCCAATTCACATGATCGTCGCCCATCTACGTCTTTTTCTATTCTCCGACCAGTCCCCAACGTTTCAGTTCTCACCCCTGACCATTGTCCTCCCCTTGCTTCCACAGAAGCGGCGCGACCTGCGTCTGATCGTATCATCGGCCACAGTTGACGCCGAGGAACTGCGGCGGTTCTTCAGTCTGGACGGCGACCGACCGTCGGCCACCATACTGTCGGTGGATGGGCGGCAGCACCCGGTCGAGGTGTACTACAGTCTGGGTAAGGACTAATTGGAGGGTAAGGGTGAGCTGATAACACGCGGTCGAGGTGTACTACAGTTTAGGTAGGTACTGAGATGAGGATAAGGGTATAGGAGACGGGGAAGATCCACAACACCCTGTCGAGGTGTATTACAGTCTGAGTTAGTACTGGAAGGTTAGAGGGGGTATAGGGGACAGTGGATGGGCGACAACACCCTGTTGAGGTGTACTACAGTCTGGGTAAGTGCTGAGATGGATGGAGAAGGGGTAGAGTAAGGGACAGAGGAGACGGAGAGGATGGACAGTACCCGGTCGAAGTGTATTACAGGCTGGTTCAGTACCGCAGGAAGGGGGAGAGGGGATATCGGTGACAGTGGACGCCAAACGCTCAACAACATCCTGTCGAGGTGTAATTGCAGTTTTGTGTATTGCGATGAGGATTGCAGTTTAGTTTTGCAGTGCTGAAACGGCGGGTATGAGGTACCAGATGGAGGGAAGGAGGAGGATGGTTGGAACGGTAGATGACGGGCAGTATACTGACATTGCGCTACTCACGGCTGTATTATCATCTACTAACAGCCGATGCCCAACGTGTGTTAGTAACTGCTGTATTACCCCTATTACAGAGCCAGTGCCAAACTACATCCAGGCGTGCGTGGACACCGTGTGTCGTCTGCACACTACTGAGCCGCCCGGAGACGTCCTGGTCTTCCTCACGGGCCAGGATGAGGTGGATGAGGTGGTTAGGAAGCTGAGAGAGGCGCCCGACACGCCCAGGAAAGGTACGGAGTTAGGGAAGAGGTTCGGGGCTTATTGTGATTGGGTTCTGCAAGGGCGCCTTCTGCGATGAATGCACTGATTTTGGGTTTTTGTGTGCTGAACTGATTTTCATCAATCAGACATGCGTTGAGTGGTTTGATCATGCATTATGATGTCAATTGTTGAGTATGTCCAGTTCAGTTTCGCAATGCAGTTCGGTTAGTTCTGAGCCAGAGAGTGCTTCTTACAGTACTAAGACCCGTACTGAGGCTTGTCATTGCCATGGCACGTCATGCAGTCACTTTGCTTTACTCCTGTTTCTCCAACCCTCATTCCATACACTGACTGATTGACTTAATCTCACCCCTCCCCCCCCCCCCCAGCGCCGATGACCACTGAAGTCCGGGCGCCCAAAAACCCCAATTCATCATCAGCATCACTCTCCCAGCATGACAGTGACTCCCTCTCCTCACACCGACAGACAAGCTGCTACCGCTGCCAATGTACGGCGCGCTGCCGAACGCCGACCAGCTGAGGGCGTTCCAGAGGGCGCCGCAGGGCCATAGGAAGGTCGTGGTGGCCACCAACCTGGCAGAGGCCTCCGTCACCATCCCGGGCATCGTTTACGGTCAGTAGTGCTTTACATGGTGATTCGCATACTGACTGTATGTGGGTATGTGTGAAGGACCACATTTGCGTGGCGAGGATGCAGTAGAGTTGGACCAAAGTTTGACCGCCCCCTTTTCAGTTTAGTGAAACTGAGGCTGCCTCTCATATCGGTGTGTTTGTGAAAACTGGCCTGAAATCTCTGCACCGAGCTCGTTAGTCGTTGAGCTAACGTGACATCTACTCTGTCCATATACCGGTAGTGGGGAGCAGAGGCCAGTTTTACCAACAGAAAAATAGCCGCCGGCCGGATTTTTTTGCCTAAAGACCGCTTCACATACGGAGCGTAAACGCGATGGGCCTGTAAGAGGATAGGGCTTTACCGTTTACGCTCTGCATGTGAAGCGGTCTTTAAACAAAAATTTCCGGCAAGCGGCTATTTTTCTGTTGGTAAAACTGGCCTCAGGCTCATGAAGACAGGCTATCTTCCTTCATTGCCTGTCCATAAAATGGGCCTGGCACCACTCAATGTGTTTTAAAGACTGCTGACCTAGCGTCTCTTCTGTCCTTCTACCAGTGGTGGACAGCGGTTTCGTCAAGCTGCGCTGGTACAACTCGGACACCCACACTGACTCACTAGTGGTGTGTCCCACCTCGCGGGCCTCGGCCGAACAGCGGGCGGGACGCGCCGGCCGCGTCAGGTCCGGTAAGGTCTACAGGTGAGGTGACTGTCCCACTGCGGCTGAGGCTGATGTTGAGGGGTGTTTTTGTGCTGGGGCAGTAACGTTTTCAGGGGCATTGGCAGCGCGTTGGTGTGGGTGGTCTCAACGCAACAAATTATTTCGAAAGTGTCATTGTATAGTCTGGATTAGCCCGTCGGTGAATCTGACCTCATATCGTACCCGGAATCAGAGGTGGGCCTCATAACTATACCACATCCACAGCATTATGGACTGTTTCCGAAGTCTGATCTTGTCTCATGCAAGACAATATGCTTCGTAATATGCCTGGAGTCTGAGTTGGTCTGTTCTTGTTCCAGACTGTACCCAGAGTCTGAGTTCACCTCCCTGCCGGAGCACACGGTCCCAGAGGTGCGCCGTTCGGACCTGGCCGCCTGTCTGCTGCAGCTGCGCGCCCTGGGCGTCTCCAACCCGGCGCGGTTCGCGCTGCCCTCCCCGCCGCCGGCCCGTGCCGTGCTGGCCGCCTGTGAGCTGCTTCACGCGCTCGGAGCGCTGGATATGAGCGGGGCGCTGACGGAGACAGGCGCCGCCATGGCCGAGCTGCCGCTGCCGCCCACACACGCACGCATGGTGCTGGCAGCAGGTATGGCATGGGCAGCGGAAGAGAACGGACGATACCCCACTCATACAGGCTTTGATGGTGTCTGAAATATTATTTTTCATTGATGTTATCTGTCTTCAATTGTGTACATTGATAATGACCGTATTGTGTGCATTGTAGTGTACATTTGTGTGTAACTGTGTAGTAAATTGATTCTGTTTGAAATACGCTGGCCTAAAATTTGATGCAAATAGTGCCTTTTCTTTTTCCTCCCACACGTCATGTATGTCTCAGTAGATTGAGATTCGGTGATCCGATACATGGCAGGTCTACACCGGCTACCGGGCTCCAAAAGATCCTTCCAAGATCCCTCCTTCCATCACCATCAATCCCCAACCCTCCGCCTGGCTGACCTCCCGTTGGTGTCTCTCCCAGACGAGTTTGGCTGCGGGAAGGAGGGCCACCACCTTCCCCGACTGACCTCTCCTTGTGTCTCCCGCAGACGAGTTTGGCTGCGGAGAGGAGATTGCCACCCTGGTAGCCATGCTGCAGGTGGACCAAGTGCTGCAGAGGCCACGAGCCGGTCAGGCCCTGCTCAAGGCCAGGATGGCTCATCGCACCTTTGAGGTGAGACTCCGAGAGCAATGCCAGCGAAGTTTCAGTTGGTGTTACAGTGTCAGAGTGGCAACAGTGAACGCCTTAGAAGGCCGATGGCCGTTAGGAGAGCTGAGTATATGTACGGTTAACTTGCCAAGATCAATCGCATGCTACACAGTACACAGCGTGTCCCGATTAGCTTCAATGTACCCAACCCCTGCATTAGTTATGCAGCCCCTCGGACAGTTCATCTAGCCCCTACCGGATGAATCACGCAGTATGTATTCCTTCCAAACTAGCATTGTGCTACGTTATGTTGCCGCGCTGTGTGTCTCGCGACAAACTTATGGTCACCGTTCTTTGCTCGTCACAGGTGGAGGAGGGTGACACCATCACCTACCTCAACATCTACCGGTCGTTCGTCAAGCGGAAACGCTCCAAACAGTGGTGTGACGAGCTGTTTGTCCGCTACAAGGCTATGCAGCGAGTGGAGGAGATCCGCTCACAGGTCGGTATTGTGTTCGCTTGACGCAGATCACGAGGCAGACGAATGGCAACAGCACCAGATTACTGGACCCTAGTCCTGCTCACTCGCATGACCAGCTCATTTGTCATTGATCGGTGACTTTGGCCTATCAGTGTTCAATGCTCAGTTCGGTGAATATAAAAGTAGCTCACCAAATAGAATCTGCTCTCATTCCATAGACCAGAAGTGTCTCACTTTGTGATCTAAGTCGTAGTTGCGAACAGCATGTTGCCGTTTTTTGTAATCTGAAGTTGAGAAAACCTGTTAAGTTCCTAGCTCCTGCAGCAATATTCTGTGACTACTCGTTCTGAAATTAATGATGAAAACTGGATCAGCGGCTGTAATCTTGGTTTGCTCTCTTCCCAGGTTCTGAAGATGATGAAGCACGCCGGCTTTGAGCCCAAATCATGCGACGGTAAGTCCGACATCATTAGCATTCCAGCATCTTTATGTGTGCGTGATCCCCATCGGTGACTTCAAAACTGGATTATCGCGAATGGAAGCTGTGCAATATCTTATTCTAAAGAATGAATATTGTGAACCGCTTGACGAACTTCCCTAGCATGTGTTAACATGTTGGATTACAAGTATCGATTTGTATTTGTTCGTGTTCTCGCTAACCCCCTTTTCACCATTTTGTCCCTTTCACAGGCGACGTGGACGCGGTGAGCCGGTGTATCACCGCCGGGTTCTTCCCCAACTGTGCCTACCTCCACCACAGCGGGACTTACCGCACCGTGAGGGGGGACCAGCCGCTGGCGGTACACCCATCGTCGGTGTTATACACCGTCAAACAGCCCCAGTGGTGAGTGGTACACCCCTCGTCGGTGTTATACAATGGTGTGTAGCTCCAGTGGTGAGTGGTACACCCCCTATCGGTGTTATACACCGTCAAACAGCCCCAGTGGTGAGTGGTACACCCCTTATCGGTGTTATACACCGTCAAACAGCCCCATTGGTGAGTTATACACCCCTCGTCGGTGTTATACACCGTCAAACAGCCCCAGTGGTGAGTGTTACTGACAGTTTACGTCCCTCGTCGGTGTTATACACCGTCAAACAGCCCCAGTGGTGAGTTATACGGACAGTTACACCCCTTTTCTGTGTTATACACCGTCAAACAGCCCCTGGTGGTGAGTTGTAACCCCACTGACAGTTATACGGACCCGATATCGACGCTTAAACACCGTCAAACATCCAAAGTGCTGATTGATCGTAGCTATCTCTTCCCTAGTCGTAAATTCTGCAGTCCTCACGATAGTGAAAGCAAACAGAGTGTTAATCACGTATTTTTTTAATTTTCTTGCAAAACAGATAGCCTTGATATGCTTTCATACACTTTGACACAAACGAAGTTCCAAGGCAACGAAGTTGCCTTGGAACATGATCGTTCTCATACTTTTTAGATACATTCAGCACACTTTTATTTTCCTTTTGATACACCTTTTTCATTTTTTTGTTTGCAGTTTGTCAGTATTTCTAATAATGTTTTCGTTACTTAGTTGCGCTGTTTTGCGTAGTGGATTATTTCATTATGAATGATACTGATCGTATCACTACTATCAGCATCAGACCTCATAATGCTCCTTTGTTGATGCGTAATACTGAACGATATTATCCTGCAGTCTACTTATGATTAACCTTACCTTTTCTTATTAACCGCATATGGTGTTATTGCATCATTATTTCCCATCGCCCATTCCCTAAGGACCGTACCGACTGTATTGTGCATAATTAGATGAATGCACATTAGCCTTGTGACGAAATTACGGTGAACCACGGGCGGCGCCGTCTTCGCGCCAAAATAGCCCGCCAGCGCTCCTTAGCGTCTTATTTACCCGCCAATATTTGTTTTCATCGATAGTGGATCTTAGTTTTCTAATTCCATTTCTACATTACATCACAAATCAATATTTTGTGTACCTGTCAGGACTCGTGATGTTAGCTATCCTCCTACTATGTTCTTATTTCCTCATTACAATGTGGGTACTGTTTCATTTAAACGAACTAAGTTTTTGAGAGTTTTGTTTTTGAGAGTTTTTAGAGTTTTGCTAGTGTCTGTTACTGTCTGAGCACAGCTCTCTGTCTGTCTGTCTTTCTGTCTGAGCTGTGCCCGTCTTCCTTTCTGAGCTTTGTCTCTTGGTCTCCGAGGGTACTATTCTCTGAGGCGGTCCACACGGGTGACCGTTTGTATGTCTGTCTATGTCTTCCTCCCTGTCTGAGCTATGTGTCTCTGTCTCCCAGGGTGCTCTTCTCTGAGGAGGTCCACACGGGTGTGTATGTCTGTCTGTCTGTGTACATACCTGTCTGAGCTATGTCTCTCTGTCTCCCAGGGTGCTATTCTCTGAGGTGGTCCACACCAGTCAGCCGTTCATGAAGGACCTGACCGTCATCGACCCTGCCTGGCTGACGGAGCTGGCGCCGCACTTCTATCAAGTCGGCACCGTGGGCGATTCGTGATGGGATGGGACGGCTTAGGACGTCATAGGATAGGGTGGGACTAAACCAGACGGGACGCAACCTAGCGAGACCGAGTGTTGATGGGACAAGGCGGGACTGAGGAGGTGGCATACTGGCTGGCGGCACATAAATGTGATAGCTCGAGGTAGCATCGCAGCTTCTCTGAAAGGTGTAATGTGAAGAGTACTTGTTTTTTTTTTCCTTGTGCCTGATGCCAGGGGCGACAAATGGAATTGCCCAAACTGCAAAGAATACTGTGTTTCGTGGATTCATGGGAAGTCGAGTATATGCCAGTTGAACTGTAAGTGTTGACAGTGTCCGTATTTATGCATTGTAATGCATACGTGTCTCATCGCTGATTTTTACCTCCTCTCATCGAATATGGGTCGTGCCTGCCATCATTGTCACATGTGATATGTTTGTTGTCTCTCATCAGCTCACAAAAAGGCATATACATTTTTGCTATTCAATCTTTTGTGTGATGATAAATGCTGATACTCTGGTGAAAGCAGATATCTTGTCGAACGAGTTGGAACTGATTGAATTTAGTTCACTGTCTGATTTCAGTGGAAAAGTTGTGTAAGAACATACCATATTGGTACATTACTATTAGGGTAGCTAATTTCGATGTTTTGTCTACATGTTTTTATCGCTGACCCCATCTACAACATAACTGACAAGCTTCACTTATTTTGATTGACTGGCAATGAGCGGCCGTACGCACCACATAAATCAATATTGCTACAATAACTCATTACCTTGGTTGTGTTGGACCACTCGCGAAAATTGGCCTCCGGGGACCGTACACGCGCTGGTAACTGAAATGACTCGACCGCGTTCAGTCGACATTTGTCGATCAGTAGACTGAGCGAACGGTGGGAAGACGCACACGACAGCACTTGGGACTATACTCCAGTGTGGGACAGTCGACTGGGCTCTGTCACTGCTTCTCAGTGAGCTTCGTCGACTGGGATAGCAGTTCCATTCTGCCGATAGCTGGAGTGCTCTCTAAAACGCGAAGACGTCCGACGCTGCAGAAGTTAGCTTTGGATCTGCTGAGGAAATTGTCTGGTGAGTTACATCCTGTGAAGTCACCAGGCGTCCCCTCGCAATGTCGCCTGACCTGCCACGTCTCTGGCGATCCACAGCCATCGTTCTGCGTGTGATCTGCTTCATCCTCCTTCTGGTCATGTTCTCCTTCAAGCTGATCGACTTTCTGCACCGCCCTGTGGTATCTGAGACGCGTGTAATGCCCGCTGCACCACCGGCCATCACCGTCTGTCCGGCTGATCTGAACCGAACAGCGCTGTGGGAGCTGGATGACATATGGACACTCGGTACACTCAGCACTGAGGAGGTACTGCACGCCGCGGCTGGTACGCTCCAGTGTGTGGTACTGGCCTGTCGGACTGCCGATGGGGATGACTGCTCTCCGCCGATAGAGGAAGGTGATGAAGAGAGATGTCGGCTACCCGGAGGTGGGGTTGGTGAAGGAGGAGGACGATGGCGTGACCTTGCACCCGGGATGAGTGGTAATTTAAGAAGAATTCAGTTTGAAGACACGGTGACCGATACGGCCTCACTGGACCGGGAAACCGCCGCTCGTTCGTCGCCGTCTCAGCAAACTCGTACTCAAACTCAACACACTGAACCCGAGCTACAGCAGCGGCGTCGATTAGACCTATCAGGCCGCTGGAAAAGCCGTCGTGTGCCGCCCGGCCTAACCTGTCACACCTTAGACCTGTCCGACCTGACCCAGGTGGCCGGAGCCGAGCTAAAGCTGACTCTCCTCCTCCAATCAGACTTCCTCCATCCAATGGACGGCTTCTATCGGCTGTTTTTTCACGGCGAGCGCTCCCCCAAGACGTGGTACGGTCTCAGTCAGGTCAGCTCCTACAGTCTGGTGCTGGATCAGATGTTTAAGGAGCTGGTGGTGACACAGTCGGAGACCGTCAACGTGGACCGCGGCGATCAACCCTGCCAGGACGATCCGCACTACGACAGAAATCAGGTAAGACTGCTTAACCTGGCACCGTTTCAATCAGTGCAGTGTGAGGTACTGGTAGCTTGATTTAGAGGTATTCTTCCTACCATATTCAAAAGAACTGTCGATTTGTTATTAAACATACGTTCACTGTACAGTGATCAATCGATCACAGAATAATATCTGCGTTTGAGGAAAAGCAAATTCCTGGCTCTATGTACCCCTTTTAGTGGCTACAGGGTTGATATCTGAAGTCAATGCCTTATGTCTCCCACTCAGTGCCTGCTGGACTGCCGGTCGCTGGCGGCCTTCACCGAGTCCAACTGCAGCGTCCAGTGGGGGGCGACCAGCGGTGGCGGTCTGCTGGCCTGCGTCTCCCGGACCGAGTACGAGGCGGCTGTCCGAGCCTGGCAGCGGGCGCGGCCCGACTGTGGCCACTGCCTGCGGCCCTGCCGGACCCAACTCATCACAGTGATGGAGCATCCGGCCATGACCGGCGTCGGCCTCAGTGAGTCACGGCGTGCGCTTCGAACGGGAATATCTACTTCTAGTGGATATAAAATGTCACAGAACTGGTACGCTGGTTGAAATTGCGATGGTTAGGGATGCGTTTTTGCAAAGCATGCTCATTCGTTCTTTGTCCTCTGTCGTTATATGCACGAGGGTACTCAGACGTGGATCTACCCGAAATCGTCGTTTTGAAGTCGCGTCTAATCAACTTAGTGCTCAGCGTCTCTTCACATGCCGCTTTCTCCATCCCTCATGTTCTTCCATTCATTCTCCAGGTCCCACGGTGGACATCCAGCTGCGCTTCAGCCCGGAGCGTCTGTCGGTGCGGCAGCGGCTGGCCTACGAGCTGGTGGACCTGCTGTCCGACCTGGGCGGCGCCTTCGGCCTCCTGCTCGGCTACTCGCTCATGAGTCTGGTGGACCTGCTGGACGCGGCTGTCGGCTGGAACGAGCGGCGCAGGCGGCGGAGGCCGGCGCCGGGACGGACCGGGCCGCTCGTACTGAGATTTTCCCGCTAAACTACACATTGACTCGCTCGCCGCTTGCTCGTTAAATATGTTCACAATTTGCCAGCACCGCACAGCATTGACAGTGAACACTTGTCAAAAAACAAGTGCGTAAAAATGGCAAACGTCCCGGTCATACGAGTATATTCTCCACTGCCATTACTAGGTCACCTACATTTCATATCTTTAAACTTTGAGAAACAAAACTTTATGAAAAGTTTCATTTATTCCCTGATACGATCGTTCAGAACACCATTCATTACACAAACGCACTTCAGATATTTTTAGCGTGGGCGCTTCCATCAGCTTATGTAACACACGAATCACCCCACAAATCATGTAGCAATACACAACACAGTACACAATGTATGACATCCACAAAATCACCACAACACCCAGAATAGGTCGGCTAGTATTCACATATCTAGCGAGAATGTATATCGCATCAGGAAAACGCACACTTGCATTACTCGGACATCACTCAGAAGTGCAAAAGACGAAGGGATATTTAACTATCTAGCAAATTAGCAAATTGTTTTCCAAATTGATAGCTAATAGCTATGCTTAGATATTAGATGAGGACGCACGACTCAAAGCTCGAAGTGATAGTTGTGCAAGACAACGCATACAATGTCACACGAAACTCGTATATAATTAACTCTTTTAAAAAGAGACGTGTCTCAAAATCGTTACCGTGGCGAATGAATTACAATGTGACTCTGCAAGAGCCGTGGTTTCACAACTTCCGTTTACATTATTACCCTGCATTCACAATCGTTAATTGCACGACATTAACATTGCCTGATATACAAAATAATACCGCGGGGCCATTCGCCCCTCACGTTTGCCCTCATCTCCTGTAGCCTCCATGCAAACTTGTGTGGGGACATTCGCTTCCTATCCGTCCCTGTTTAGACCAGTATCGCCCGAAGCCAGCGGTGGGGGGTCGACGCAGTCAACAGGTTTACTCTTTCCTACTGAAGCGTAGGCTGGTATCGCATCACATCATTACGCGTCTGCTTTCTGCTTCTGTATACAAATACACATGGACCAGCCTGGCGTCGACTCTGGCCGTCTTACCTTCCTCAGGGGCGTTTATTCCGTATCACTAGCAATCGTTTTCCTTCTCAGAGCAGTAGCCCGCTCTCCCCAGAGGCACATGCATCCTCCACCCTCTTCCAACAGGCAGGCGAGGTATTCGCTGTCCCCGCTCCCATGACCTGTCTCTCCTCTCCTCAGAAGAGCGCGCTGTCTCTCCTCGATAGGTTCCTCTTCCCCCTCGCTCCATCTCAGAGATACATACCGTTGACCAGGTAGTCTGCGTCGTGCGCCAGGCCCGGTCTGTCGCCCCGCCGGCCCCGCCGCCGAGCGCACTGAGTTCTACACAGTGCCAGGACCACCAGAATGGCGCTCAGAAGCACTCCTGGGGGGAGAGATGGGGAGTTGAGGTCAGATGGCGGTAGGCTGTGGCAGAGGGGACTGACTAGCCACAATCGGAACGGGTCTGAAAAAATGAGGTGAGAATGGGAAGAACAAAAAGGTTTGTGATACAGATATCTGGCTGAAATGTTTTGGGCGGTAGAATGCTGCCCTAAAAGGAAGCCTTTTGGCAGCTCATTCATTATGATGATTGATGAGAGCCCTACACTACCTCAGAATAAGCCAGATTTCATATTCCGCACAGTCCGCACTCTACCGAGAGCACTTATTTCTCGGTTCTCCTTAGGACCCGTACAATCACTTTATAACTCACCCAGTGTGAGCACGATGGCGGCTCCCTGCGACTCGGACGATTGGAGCGCCGCCTGGGAGCGGAGTTCGCTCAGACTAAACTCCACCTCCTCCACGGCCGGGGAGGGAGGCGGCGCGCTGGCAGACGGGGCCACCGTCACCTCCGCGGTCGTCGCCTCCGCTAATGGTTACAGGGAAGGCGGGTCACGGTCATGGAGGGACAGGGAAGGGGAGACAATATTAATACGGGTTGGGCATAGGCAGCAGCATCCTCTTGGTTGTGTAGGATTGAACTTTGATATGTCCATTTTCTGGTGAGATTCGGCAGGAGAAATTACTTTTCACATTAAAACCACTGTAACATTAAAAACCAAGAGCACCAGAGCTAGTGTATAAAAATACCTGTTCAAGTAGCCTGTCAATGCTAGTAGCTCCTCAAATCTCCATTAGTTATACCCATCTCCATCTCAAAATCGCCGATAGGCACTGTCTTTCACACACTCGCCCCAGCCTCTTGACTCGCCCATCTATAACTACTCACCCGGCGGCTCCGTCGGCTGCTGACCTGTACCGTTCTGGGCAGCCCCGCCGGCCGCCGGCGCCGGCCCGGCTGCCGGTTTCTGTTTGTCGGGCGTCTGCTGCGGGGTGGGCCGCCGGTCCACGGTCAGAGGACGGTCCTCCCGGGACGGAGGCAGCCCCGGCACCGGCCGGACGGCGGGATTGGCCTGTGAACGGCAACAGCAAACATCGGCGATGGATTATGCGCATAGAAGTGTGTTGGAAAAGCTACACTGGCCTGTTAGAGAGTGCCTTTTGAATAGTTCAATTTGTTTCATCCCTTTAACACGTAAAGCATGTCAAAATATTCGCTCGCTGGTTCGTTGGTCAGTCCAAATCAGCGTCAAATGCTCATACATGTCTTGCGGCACAGCATCACACCAGGCGTATACCATTACCGCCATCTATTGGCGGCGGTATAAGTACGATGGGTATTGCGGTACAGCATAACATCAGGCGCTCGATGTTTGCGTCATCTATGGATAAATTTATAAGATAGCGGTATGGTTCCCATAGCAATTTACGAATTCGGTTATCGGTATCCCTGCTTCCAGTGCACTTTCTGAAAACGGATAGTTATTAAGACGAAAAATTATCCAGTGCTCTGACATGCACAAACTGAAGAACAGCAATTTTGTATTTTCTCACCATTTCCCTGCCGGGTTGCTGGTCGGGCCAGTCAGCCGGTGGCGCCACCTGACTGAGCTTGCTCTGCGGCCCGCCAGGTGGCAGTGGGAGCGACTGGTCGTACGGTGACCTCTGTGGCTGCAGGGCGATTGGGTCGTAGCGCGGTAGAGTGTCGTACGGGTAGCCACTGGGTGGCAGTCTACCCGCCCAGTTCTGGTAGAGGTCGTCGTAGAATACGGACGGCGGCTGGTACACCGATGAAGGCTTCTCGTACTGAGGGTAACTGAGAGTGGAGGGAGGCCGAGGTAAGCGGTGGGCTCCGCACAACTATTCACACCGTTCCGTGCTTCTATCCTCAGGATACTGAAATCCTTCTCCTCCACGCCGCAACCTCCCTCCGGGCTGGACAGGCAATTTAATCCCATGCGGGCTGCTCCCTTGGAGCGGCACCGCTGCTCCCAAGGGAGCGCACCCCGTAGCCGGGTGCAGTGAGTGCCTTGGGGCTGGGTGGCCTGTCCTCTGGACGGGCTCAGCCCCGGCGACTCACTAGGGTGCCTGCCCAGACCAATGTCTCCCCCTATATCCTATCATCCTCCTGGCTCTGAAATGGTCTCATTGGACCGAAAGGGCCTAACCCAACAAAACAAAAAACAAAAACAACTATTCACGTTGATTTACAAATAAAACAGTCATTCAGGATGCCACTGGAGGCACACATTGTAAATCATTGGTATTATTCAAACATTCGACTGTTCGACCGACTGTTCATTTTTTATTCCCTGTCGGCCCGCCCTGACCTCCTCCCTTTTCCGTCCGCCCTGCTCTGCCCTCAAACGCTGCTCACCTGTCCTTCACCCTTATCCCCTCCGCCTTGCTGACCTGACTGGCGGCGGGGGCGGTGGCGGCTGAATGCTGTGGTGCTGCCGACTGGAGCCCGCAGCCGCCGGGAAGTGGCTAAGGCCCGTCAGTAGACCCTGCTGGCGGTGGTTGAAGATGTCGCCCGGTGGTAGCGGCTCCGAGTAGCCCTGATTGTAACGAGGCCGGTCCCAGCTCGACTCTGGGGGTGACAGTCGGGGCAATCTGGTCAGGTGTCAACCAATGTCGTAATATGCACAAATGAACGTGACTGGGTTAGACGCTCATTTGTGATGTTGGCCAAATGGCAGTCGTCAAATGACCAGAAAGCACAGCTCATGCCGATAGGATCACTAGACACTGACGCTCATAAACTTTCGATGAGGGCTGAGGCCGGTACCGTATGTGCATCTTCTATGTATGGTTACCGAGTTCCAGGTCGGAGGATTACCTGTGTCATCAGTGGGCTGCCTGGCCGGCTCTGGGGGCACTCTCGGAGGTGGCGCTGCCTGGAGACGACGAGCAGAGTCTTTGTTGCTGGTGGTCTCCGCTGGAGGGCGTTCGGTCACCTCCAAATTGTCCGTCTTTGAAGCTGTGGGAAAATATCGGAACTGACGAAACACCTTTGCGAATCATAGCGTTGAGGCTAGATTTGATTTTGAACCATTGATAAAATGTTATTGGCACAATCAGTCTACCATTTCCAGTCTACGCCACACGTATCGATATAAGGTCATATTGTAGCACCTCAAGGGACGGAAGTAACTCAAGCAGCAGCCGCTCTCGACACGATATACGACACGAGTACGACGCTCTCGACAGGTTCAAGCATTCCCGGAACAGCTCAATGCTGAGCTCCGTGCCAAAGGTTCCGCACTCGGTACAGGTGTCCTGCAATTCGTACTTTGTTCCGTACCTATTCACACGTTTTGCTTCCTAACTCCAGGATACTCTCTTTACCTGGATCTTGTAATCAGTGATCATTGCTCTATGCCCAACGGTGAAGTTGTTTTCGCTTGACTGTATTAGCCATTAGAGCGCCTATAGGTATTAGCCATGAGAGCGTTATAGTTCCACTGTTCAGCATTATATTTAACAAGCTTTACAAATGTACATACATGGGCAGTAATCGCCACGCCATGTGTGGATCGCCCATGATCGTAAATACATACATACATACATGCGTGAGTTTCCAATTCTATGACGGTAAGATGGAGAAGTTACGTTGAGCGGAGCTTTTTAAGCTAAATGAATGACAAATGAATGAACAGACGTATTATTGAATGAACGAACGAACAAATGAATGTGCGAGTGAACAAATGCATGTAGGTATGTACGTATGAATGAATGAATGAATGAATGAATGAATGAATGAATGAATGAATGAATGAATGAATGGACGAACGAAAAAACGAACAAACGAACGAACGAACGAACGAACGAACGAACGAACGAATGAATGAATGAATGAATGGACGAACGAACGAACGAACGAACGAACGAACGAACGAACGAACGAACGAACGAACGAACGAACGGACGAATAAACGAACGAACGGACGAACGAATGCATGAACGAACGAACGAACGAACGAACGAACGAACGAACGAACGAACGAACGAACGAACGAATGAATGAATGAATGAATGAATGAATGAATGAATGAATGAATGAATGAATGAATGAATGAATGAATGAATGAATGAATGAATGAATGAATGAATGAATGAATGAATGAGCGAACAAATGACAATGCGATGTCCAGTGCTCACGGTCAGGGCAGTTGAGCTCGGCGGCCTCATCACTGCCGTCCTGACACTGCGGGATACCGTCACAGGCGTTATAGATGGCCAAACACTCGCCGGTGTGGCATTCAAACTCGAACCGCTTGCACCGCGGAGTGGACGCTGAAACGGACAAAACGGGAAAGTCGGTGAGTCGTTACTCAAGAGTCGAACACAAGTAGTGAGCGGGAAATAGTCGTACAGGGTTCCCCGAGGCCTCGAAGTCGGTACTGAAAATAACAGGCAGGTCAGACAAGGTAAGAGGCTAAGCTAAACTGAGCAGGGTAAGATAGGCTATGCATTCCACGAAAAGCCGGCACTTAGCCCAGGCCAGAACAAAGCGAGAGGTCAGGACAGACACGAGCATGTAACAGATTTATCGGGGCTGTTTGGAAACATATCCAGCCAACGGCGGACAATTGTCTGTACCGGATGTAGTGATAAAGTTCAACTGTTCAGAGATCTAGGTATAAGTGAAACATGCCGTGAATAGGCAGTTAGGCACTAACTTTGTTTAGTGCCTACTCCTGGCTCGCGGACAGGAGCCAAAATTGTAAGCATTGTATCCAATGCATATTTTAGGTGTGTCAGAATCAACATGAGCTGCTTATTTCTCTTGAAGTTTTAGTTTTAAAACGTGCCTTATCAATATGCACGTTCAGCACAACGTATCATTCTTTGGCCAGATTCTGAAGCCAATCTACATATTCCCGAACTATAACGCGAACGATCAATGAATCTCATATAGAGTCAGCTCATCAGCCGGGTAGCCGGTCTGCAATAATGTCCTTTTTGCGGACAGCATTCAAATGACCTCCTTACCGGCCCCTATCAAAGCCTTTCTCCCCTCCGCCCATTGCCTGTCAAATCATGGCGGTTCAAACGGAAATAAAAACCACGCTCCCAGCAGCACGCCAGCCGGCCTCTGACGAAACGCACTCGAACCGCCGCAGTGGCCATTGTGGCGCAGGACGCGGCGCATCAGGACACAATCGCGGCGCACGGTGACGTCACGGCGCGGCCGCGGCGCTGATTGGTCGTCACGCGGCGCGTGCTGACAGTGTGACGGCGCGTGACCCGTCGGCCGCGTGACGGCGTGAGTGACCCCAGCGCAAGGTCATCGTGACAGGGCTGGACAGTGGCGGCAGCCTTTGTACTGCGGCTGGAAATGGGACACTGCGCGCGGGCGGGGGACACAGAGGCAAGGTCCTGCGTGCCCCGTCAGAGGCCAGCGCGTCATGCATCGCTTTCGGATGTGTTTTGTTCACTCTGGTAACATTTTACTTCATGCCTATCCGTTTCAGAGCGCCAATGCTCCCAGCGCTATCTACATACTCGCACGTTGTCAGAAAAACGAATTTGCATCGTCAGGAGCTGTATGGTCCAATGCCTTTTTTCAGGTTGCCGTCAAGTCTCATGGGCTTGATTGAAATTTTATAGTCACTGGGCATGGTGGGACGATTAGAGAGAGAGAGAGAGAGAGAGAGAGAGAGAGAGAGAGAGAGAGAGAGAGAGAGAGAGAGAGAGAGAGAGAGAGAGAGAGAGAGAGAGAGAGAGAGAGAGAGAGAGAGAGGCGGAGAGGAGAGAGAACTAAATTATTTCATGCCTTCGCGGTTTTTTACACAAAGAGATATACAACCGAATGTTTATGTTCAATATGTTATCAGCAATTCGTTAACCCTAGAACGCCTAGGGGGGGTTGTATCAACCCCCCCCTGAGGTTTTTTTCGAAGTGCACGCTAAACGGCTTGTCGTAGCGGGCTGAAATTTTCAATACCCTCTGGGGCAACCTTTGCGCATCTTTTGCCGAAAAAAAATTGATCGGGTCATGTCAGGTCACGGAGTTATGACGTCATAAGAGGTAGAGCCTCCGGCCGACAGTTACCAAACGTGTGCGCCGAATCCCTAGGTTTTCTGCCGGTGATACCCACATTGTTTGATGGATCATGATGAAACTTCCCATGCATGTTGGGGCAAGCATTGGCTATCGTGTGGTGCAAGAAAATTGACCGGGTCAGGTCAGGTCACGGAGTTATGACGTCATAAGAGGTACAGCCTCCGGCCGGATTTTCACGAAGTGTGTACCGAGTCCCGAGTTTCATATGTGATGATATGTGATACATCGTTTGCTGTGAATTGATTGTTGGAAGTTGGAAATACACTTTTCTGAGTCGTTACCTACAGTATTTATAGCGGAGCAGTGGTCAACAGCCGACGAATCGGGACAAACACCGGAGGGTGATGTGACACCATATCACTCATCAGCAATAGGCCTCTTACTTTTATAGGGTAAATACACCAAAAACACCATATATGATGCAGAATTGAGTGGGGAATACGTTGTTGAAGGTTTGAAGTTAATATCTCTCACCGTTTTGCCGCAATCGTTGCGCAAAGTTGAAAAAGTTTGATTTTTTCGGAAAATTTGACCTTTGACCGGTCATAAGTAGGTCAAATGTTGACCTAGGACCAAAAAATATACCACCAATCGCGAGATCTCGTTGAGAGCAAACCGTTGGTTTTTTCCGCTAAGCTCTACGACCTTCCGTTTCGAAACGCCAGGGGGGGGGTCGTAACAACCCCCCCCCCCCTGGTCGTTCGTGTTATGAGAAATGGCCTGGTCGTGCGAGGGTTAAGACGGTGTTATTCTATTGAAAAGAAACGTGAGTTCCCGGACTAAACCAAATTTATGGGACCAATAGGCGAATCCAGACAGTCAGTCTCTGAGTTGCGGGGGCATAACCATTAACCTCCAAACATTTTCTGCAAATTCCAAAAAACTACTTGAATTTTTATTTCACATGCACTGCTGTGTATTTTATATACAGTAACACTTTTCCTAATGAGAGTTGTTAAGAGTTCCTTCTATAAAGAACGATAAATTTTCATCGAGTTCGGGCGCTGGGAGGAGGTCTTTCTCCTCCAAAAACCCCGCTGGATCCGCCAGTGATGGAATCCCCTCCAAATATTTTTTACCAACATTTAACAGAATGACCTCCGTTTGCAAACTGAACAAAGCCCTTTACGCTTCCTACACGACCATTGCTTTGTGCAGAAGGTTATTCACCTTAACTTCATCAAATCCGTAACCAGATACTCGCAGTTCGCAGGCACCACTCCTCGGTACCGCCCACAATCAACCCGCCCACAGCCAACTGTATCACAGCAGCCTGTGTGACGTCACACATGTGACGTCACACGCGACCGGGGCGGCGCGGCGGCGGCCGGTGCGCGGCTCTTTCTCGCCAGACCGCGCGGCGCTCGACAGTGCGCAGGTGTGACTCCCGACCCTGCCGGACCCGACCCGACCCGACCCTGCCGGAACTGACCTAAACCAGCCCCGACCCTGCCCGACCTTACCTAAACCAGCCTGGATCCTCTCTGACCTGACCCGGACCGGCCCGACTTTGCCCTGTCCCGACCCTCCCTGACCTGACCCTGCACGACCAGACCTTATCCCAGCCCTGTCTGACCTGACCTACCCCAACTCTCCCTGACCAGGCCCTGACAGGCTCGACCTGACCTTGCTCTGTAAACTACAACTTCAATCCCGGCTCTAATCAAACCTAACTTGACTGACTTTACCTAACCTGACTTGACTTGCCTTCCCCCCGATTCCACCTAGCGTTCGAACGCGGGCCATACTTTGGTGAGAGCGTTACACAGGGAAGGAAGAGGTGGTGCGTCAACTAAAGGATCTACTGGCCCATGACACCAGGTAGGCAGCCTCGTTGGACGTTGTACGTGCTGACTGTTGAGTGTTGAGCTCGCCGCCCAAAGCATCAACGTGCGTATTATGCATTGTGATCTCATATGTTCTTTATATTGTTACTTGAACATGGATGTTTGCATACCGGCCGTTTTGCATAAGGCATCGTTTTGCATACCGACCACATGAATGAAGAGGTAGAGGTCATGAAATGTGGAAAATGTCAGGCTGAAGGTCTCGTTTCAATTAACATTCCTTATTATAGGGTCGTATAAGAGATACTTCAAAGCACGTTGGATTGTTACCTGAGGTCCGATCCGAATCAAAGATAAAATGAATTACATCGAAACAATCACCAACTGCTTTACTAGATAGTAAGAACACGATAAAGCGAGTTGAAAATATACTCGTAGACTCATAGAAGTAAATCCCACATCGTTTGGTTAGCACTCGTGTGCTGCATTAAATACAGCTATCTATGCTATGCTAACCCTAAAAGCAAATCAATATAGCTGGTGCTTACACAGCTATCTAAGCAGTTCGATTGCTTATAGATCCTTCAGTTTTCAATGTCAACTTATTGCCAAAACCCTTTTGGGTTCCTTAAAAAAGGAAACATTTGAGATTATTTACCTATAAATGTAGTAAAAGCAAGTAAAGGGTTTACAATAATTGCTCATAAAAACTTGTTTCTAAAATTATATTTTCCTACGATTGCCAGCATTTCAATATTTACGTTTGTTGATAAAGGTAGCGGTCCGAAGTGTCTTCATTGTTGATGTGCAAGACAAGAAATAACTGTCACGATTTGTCAAGACGGATATCTACATTGTAAATTTAAATTTAGTAAAATTTAATTATCACGCGTAGAGTGCGTGCAATGATCACAGTGATAAGGCGAGCCGTGCATAAATGTCATATTATATTTTTGGTGCAAGGACTACTCTAGACAAAAGCGGCTGTCATTCTTACATTTTGATGGTTTATGCATACGCACTTTTTAATTTTTATTGTACCCGTACAACGGACACATGTAATAAAGAAATAAAGCCATTCATAAGTAGGGTCAGTGCACGGACGATGCAACTGACGCGTAAAATGTAGCACAGATTTAGGTGCAGACGGGATTTGAGTGAGATAGAGCAGAAAGCAAAGAGCGTTAAAAAAATCACAATAGTCTGGCAAGCCTAAAGAAAGAACGGATTTAGAGCGCAACCGCAATTGAAATATGTGCCTTTATATTGCCTCCAGCATATCGCACAACATATCCGTTATGGCTTTCCAGACAGAATATATACTTTTGCTAGTTATGATCAAAACACGGGTAAAGTGACTGAAATGTTTTAACTTCGTTCCTTTTTAGCTTTGCCGGACTATATTTAGGTGGTGAAGGTTGATTTGTTGCTATGATAATATATCGTATATCGTCCAACCACCGTGAAACATCGATCCAAGGCCCTAAAACTGCCATCAATCCAGTAGCTTGACATAAAAGCCGCGACATTCAATTCATCACCGTTACCTACCTATGTTGCAAAAAAGTCTGAAGCGTTGAATTTCGTTTTTTATAACGGGAATGTATAGTCTAATGGACCAGTGGCGGATCCAGGGGGGGGGGGCAAAATGGGCATTTGCCCGCCAAACGGCATGATTTTAACATTACGCCTATGGACGATGCATGGAAAGAATCGATAAATTGTTATGGTTTGCCCCCCCCCCCCAAAAAAAAAAAACTCTGAGCTGGATCCGCCTCTGTAATGGACAGAATGGTCACCACATACATAATGCTACTGATTTAAAATTGATATCGGGATTTTTACTTCATTTTAATTTACACATTTTTTGATGGTCTTAATTACAAATTTAGTGACGAAAAATCACCATATTGGAATCACATTGAAGATCTTCTTAACATTTAACAGAAAGATGAACAGGATCATTCGTCAGTCAAAAATGCGTCATTCTGTATATGCAGTTTGTCATTTTCCTTCGTTTCATCGATTCACCACCCAATTCTATCGATCGTCTTTAGAAGCCATCCGATAAATGCGCACATCATGCATGAAACCGTCCCAGTCAGGGTCGTGTGAAACGCGCATTGGTCGGTGCTGATCTGGATGCGCCAAGTCACGCGTTGATGTAGGTCTGCTGAGGGCGACCAGGTGTATCGGGGCCGTATTCAGGCGCGGAGAGTACCACCATGACGCCAGTTTAGTCAGCTCTCCTCAGAGCCGTGGGAAGGCAGAGGAGGGAAGAGGGAGGGAGGAGGGGCAGAGTGGAGGGAGTCAGGGATATATGGAGCAGGAGGAGGCCGGATATTGCTCACCATTTTACATACTCTTATGCTAATGAGAAGAGTAAAACGAGAAACGAAGAAAAGAGGAAGGACACGAAAAGATAGGGCTTTAAAAAAGTTGGCCACCTTTCCACTTTTGTGCAATAAGCTGTCGATAAGATAGGGAGAATCGCTGTGCCACTCATTGAGGTTTCTGGCTAGTGCGCGGTGCCACGGTGAGACTAAAGCGTTTAGGTTGAAGTGCGGAGTATTGTATTCAGCAGCGGATTGTGGAGCTCGGTTTTCACTGTCGATTAAATCGATCCAACGCCACCATCTGGTATCGTCTTGCATAATTGCATAGCTGAACTTGGGCTAAAATGATAAATGATGGTAGATGCAACTTTGATGATAAATTATGAACAGGTTTCGTCATCTCCGGCGTAAATCCGTTTCGTCTCACCCTTCAGCCGTAAGTGCAGTCCGGATGGGATCTCATATGGCTTCGTTGAACGGCCCCGGAAAGGCGGCAACAGCGGATCACTTTCACGTGGCTGGAGTCCCGGTTCAGTTTCTATGTGAAACAAAAGCATGATGCCACACAAAGTGCGTAAGTTTCCCTACAGTGACTTCACGTTATCAACGCTTGCTGTTGACATCTGTAAGACCTAGTATCTAACCGTCCCCTACAAAACAAACGTTCGAACAAAGCCACCGCAGAGTGAAATCCTCACCACCAAAAACACTACCGCCCTTTTGTCCTTTTCTCTATGGCGCCTGTGTCGGTCGGGGTCCGTGACATCTGTTTGTCAACCTGCTGCCGCATTTCGCAAACCTGTGCGCGGCGCCAGCGGCGGCCGCGGTGGCTTCAGAGGTAGTGCCGCCGCGTCGCTACCGGCGTTCGGTGGCGAACCATCTGTCGTCGCTCGCCATGCATCCATTCATGCTCTGAGCCGCGAGGATTGTCCGGTTGGCTCGCACCGCCGCCAGCTGGATAGCGTTGGCTTGGCTCGCAGCGCCGTGGCCAGGTGTATTGTATCGCGAACCGTTGGCCAATTTATGCTCGGAGACGGAACGCGGACGTGGCCCGACCAATGGCCGCTGGCTGAAGCGCAGGGTGACGAGTGGAGACGAGATGATCGTTTAAAAGACGCAAAGGACATACGAGGGGAGGAGAAAGGCGAAGTAATCACTCTACTTGCGTGGAGGGTGGCAGCCCAAAAGGCACAAACAGCGCACTTTGTATCCTCATTGATACAGTTTTCTGCTAATAGACTGGCCTTCTATCATCTAGGATGTCGCCGAAGGGCTCGTGATTTGTATTATTCATGCCCCATTCGGATTTCCCGGCACAGATCTGCCAAGCACAGAAAAAACAAATATCGGTCACTAAATGAGATTCAATTTCAAAGCGATTAGAAATAGCACCTTTCGACCGCATCATTTGCAAAACAATTATACCTCAAACGCCTGCTAAGCGATGTATATGGAAACCGCCAAGTTCCTAATGCAATGGGCTGCCAAAAAATCATCCAGCTTTACCCTAGAATGCCAAAAGAAGGACCGCAACGTAGCGACTACTGCATTGCACCGAGTCTGTCAACATCGACATAAGCACAGGACAGGGCGAAACACCGTACCACGATCTTCTTGTCACGAGCGGAGTCGCGCCACGACCGCCACGCCACGAGCGGTGCTCCGCGCCGCGGCAGGGCGCACGGGTTGCCGCGCGGAACCAACGACGTTGTTACGCCCTGGAGCGGAAACGAGCCGTCGCCGCCAGGCACGGGGTTCGTGAGCGCAGCGCGGATGGCCCGGGAACCACGCCGGCACCGGTGGGGCGGAGCTGAGGTGAAGAACTGTAACGTAATTACTGCGACACACAGGTGGCGAGGAATGTGGTGACAAGGGAGGCGGCGCGGGCCGGGCTATGGTCTCAGACGCGCCGGCAGGTCTCACAGGTGAACAAAGAGTCCGGTCAATTCGCAGGAAGAAAGATAACGTCTCTTGGAGGGGAGGGGCTGGAAGGAGGGAGGGTCACAGACAGGGGAGGGAGGGTCAGCCTGAAGGTCACTGGAAATGAGCAAGGAGGGTGGAGAGTGTGATAGGATCAACAGACCTCATGACATCCGGAGTGATAAGAAGATATGTCCTGGGGAAGGGAGCAGGGAGAAGGGCAGGGCCCCCCCCCCCCTGCCCCCTGGGCGGCGACCACCACAGTGACAGCACGTCAGCAGCTCCAATGTCTGGGTCTATTTTTGTCTGTCTCCATGTGTCTCGGTTCTTCATATGGCACCTGCCCGTGTCAGTTTTCTGTCTCGCTTCTATTTATGTCTATCTACTCTTACAGCTGATGACCGTCCTTGCGCCTCCATTTCGCGTTGTTTTTGTTCGTCTCAATCTATGGGATATACGAACGATACGAATACCTTGCTCGGCCCGGTGTTTATTCCGTTTCTTGCATTTCTGTGCGTCGACTTTAAGTTCACCTGTCCCCTACACTTCTGCCCACCTTCACCTCTGTGCCCACCACAAGGTCGCCCACCATCTGCGCGCCATCCTCCTTCCGTACGCCATACATCTCCGCCTGATCTATTTTGTATGAACTGTCTGTCTGAGGGTCGGTGCCACGACCGCTCGGTGACCTCAGCTCGTCCCGCGGGGCGGCCACCGAGCCGCGCCCGCCAACTCGGTGGGAACGCACGGCTGTCGTTCTCAGCACTATGGTGCCCGGTCACAGCACCTGCTGCGCACCTCCCACTGCCCTGCGCCCTTCAGCGCGCTCCCAAAGTAACCTTGCCGCGGAGCATGCCGTCTGCCATCCACCGCGCTCTCCGTCGTACCGCCACATCACCGGACCTGTCAGACACTCCTCATCATCGCCCATCGGTTTGTCGAGTGCTCACCAAATCATCTCACGTCTGAGCCTCCCGCAATAACCTCACTGTCCATCACCTACATAGAAACCACCATTCTATCCACCTCACCACCCACCCTATCCGTCCACCGCGCTTCCGTTGTCTGCAATCTTCAACGTCTCAGCTCCACTGCAAGATAAATGCACTGGGCTAAGAGAACAAGCAACGTCTCGGCCATAGACTCTATTTGGGTCGGCACTTTGGACCGCCTCCATGCCGTGCGCCAGCCACATAACTGTCTCTCCACGGCCCGGGTGCGCACCACACCACTTCGGCGTGGGACGCGGCACCCGCGCTACAGTGCACAGTTGCCAGGCCAGGCTAGTTACGACGGGGCAGTCCCAGTTTTAAGGAGTCGTTCCGGGGCTGACTTTAGGTGGTGCTGCAGACTCTGAACGAGAGATATTTGAGCTCGTGTTTGAGTCAACAGGAGTGATCCCTTTCGAGTTACAGATGAATCCGCGATCGAAGGAGATTCGCGGTCGGGATTGATTTGTCGGAATTTGAGCAATAATTCATTCACACTCACAGCGTCTCGGCATGCTTTTTGACGTGCATGGTGAAGTGATTGTTTCCATTTCCTTCGTGTATTTGATGCCCAAGTTAAATGACAGTGTTTTCGGGATTTTATATTTGAAAAACAGCTGCAACTCGGAAGTGATGATACCGCAAGTCTGACCCAAAATACCTGCTACGCAGATGCACCGGCACAGGGCACTGAACCATGAAAACGCAGCTACACATCGATTTTTCATTTCCCGGTTCCATTTTCCTCGATTCACCCACCGTCGACCTGGTACCGTCACCGACCAGGAAGTTCAGAGGCGCACGAGCGCGCGTCCGATTTGGCGCGCTCGGTGCGCGGCGCGCGCTTCCTGGCGCGCGGCTAACGGCGCGCGCCAGCGGCGTCAGCTCACGCCCGGCCGCGGTCGAGCAGGCGCTCTTTTGAACCCGGACTGTCGGCGCGGCGGCACGGCACGGCGCCGACACCGTTAGGGCACGGCAGGAGTCGAGGAGCGCCTCCACCGCTGTCGACAGCCTCCTCCGTGTGGCACTCAACCGGCGCAGCGCCGACGGAAAAACGGCCGAGAAGGATCAGTCGAAAGAGTTGCACCATGCTGTTCCGGAAAATAACACTTGTGATGTTTGTCGGATTACGCCTCTGAGGAGGGGGTCTGGGCTGAAGCAGGGATAAGGAGACGTTAAAAGCTAAGACGATTCCGGCACCGACTACGGCTCCGCTCTGGAATAAAATATCCCGGCATCCTCTGCTCTGGCTTCCGGGAAAATGTGCCAACTCCGGCAGCTCTAGTTCAGAGAATATTGTATCGTGAGACGCACTACCTGTGCCTCCGGCTATGGCTCCGCATCCCTGTATGAATGTAAAGCTACGCACCTGTGTCGTATGACACAAACCCCAATCTATGTACGCACGCTGTGTACTGTGTGTTGTGTAGTGATGCAAATACGGATATTGCGTGTGGTTACGTTACACCTGTCTGAGAAGGTAGATGTGCGCGCGGGCGGTGTGGGCGGAGGCCCAGGGAGCGCGACTCGAAACGCGTGGGGGGGGGGGGGGTGATGTATGACAGGCCTTCAGGAGACGGACGGACCAGATGGGAATATGGAGAACAGGCCGCACCTGCGGACAATATGTAGATTTGAAGGCGCGAGAGGTGGCTTATTAAATACACTGAACAGTTCACTGATAATGTCACTGTAGTCCGTATAGTTTTTCACCGTCATGGGCTCAGCGATTGGATCGCGTAGGTACAATTCAAGCTAAAGTTGGAAAATTGCCTCTTTGTTTGCTGCTGAAACTTCTTCACTTCCTCGCATTTGGAGCTTTTAACATCTGTTTATGCAAGAGTATATTCACAGGACAAAAACCATTGATTTTTAGTGTTGCATGAGATTAGCTGCTAACACTTATTTTTACGGTCATAAGCTTTTAAAGGTCTTGTTCCAATCTTCAACCTCCAGTGCCCAGTGGTTAATCACCCTCCGCGGATGTCGTTTTTATCGCTCACTCACTCTCTTTTAGTTAAATGCTATAAAAAGCAATCGCAGCACGGTACCAAAATGTTAGCTCAGCCTCGCGGACCAATCCGTCACATCCACCACCGTATCACAAAATGGAAAGCGTTACCTATCAGTGCTGGAAAGGACGGCAGTGGACCGAACGATGGAGGGAAGCGACATAATAATTTACTGCACCAAGCTTAGATGATATCTAAATACACGGAAAAAACATGGTGCATACATTCGGTCGCATTTGTGATTTCTCTAAGATTACTCGGGGGACGATTCATGTTGCAATGAAAATCGCTGTGCCTGAGTTGTAATTTTTGTGTCTATTTTCAGGTGAATTGCAGTGATGACCTCCAAGCTGCGTCGACCAGCCCTCTTTGGCTATGACGGAGGACTGGGACCCGTGGTGGACCACTACTACCCTAGCAGGGTGAGTACTGAGTCTAAACGCGGGATGGAAGCGATAACCCAGTGCTCATGTCTCAGCCCTCAGTACCAGCATTAATGCAATTAAATAACCATCGGTTATAACCAGCGTAGGAAGACGGCTATTTCATGGAAGGTTTCGAAGTCCATTTACAACTTCAAAGCGCCGGCATGCATGATGCAAAACGTTGCACCATGCTGATCTGTTATTCATTTTATAATAAGAGATCAGGTAAGTCATCCCTTCCCGCAAGCTTATGAGAGCAGGTTGTTTTCATAGCGCAATAGTTTCCGAAACTTGTGTGTCTTCACCTGGATATTCTCTCACGACTCATTAAAATCCTATCCATTGAAATATGTGCCTTCAAGCTCAACTCCTTCGTACGGCCCATATATCTATAGACTAAAGAGAACGGCCCATCCCTAAGGCCTCCGCTTGCCGATGGTAGCTCGCCTTTACACAGCCGGTTGACGACCAGCCGCCTCGTCTCCGGAGCGTCACGAACGGCGCGGTAGCGGGCCGGCCGGGTGAACCGATCGTGTCCGTCTCAGGTGGCCGGCGGACCGGGCCGACCGGCTGAGGGGCGGCTGTTCAACGTGTCGGTGTGAATGTGAACAGCAGGGAACGTGCAGGCAGCAAGCAGCGATAGATGCGGGGCTTGTGTAACAGTCGCAAAACAAAAAAAAAAAAAGTGCAGGAATTTTTAGAAAACTTTCTTGGAAGAGCTGGCACTTGTTTGCATTGGCTCCCGAATGGATCAATGCAGTCGATGTTCAGTTTAATTTCATATATTAGGTACTGCTAAGAAGCTGATCATGAAAGCCATTTTTGCCACTGAAAACACACAAAAATTCATTCGAATTATTCAAATAGGTTCTTTCCTAATATTTTGATGACAATCAAATGACAACAAATGGTTAGACGAGGGAGTGAAGGTGCTGATCATTTGAGGGCATTTCTGTTTAGGTAAATGGTCTTCCTATAAGTATCACTTTCTCGCGTTGTGATTTTTCGTCTCGATCGTTAGCGGTTTGGACGCCAATATTTCGGTCACGAGGTGCCATTAGCCGGTCAGAGGCTGTGACCTGAACGTCACGACAGTGCACAGCACACCCGTTTGTCACCAGCTCCTCTCAACTGAGTGTGAAAATAGACATGAACTGACAAAGATGAACTGAAAGGGAGCACGCTGAAGTGCGCTCTTCAATATGATGTGATATAGCACCGATGCCCTATGTCCGATATTCTGTGTTTACCTTTACACTTTCCTATTATATTACACCTTTTTCTGTTCTGATATATCCTGTTTACTTTTACGTTTCACCTATCAATTTGCTTTTAAAACATACATATTTCACATCCTGTCCTTTCTAAAACCTCAGCATCACCCACCACTCACTGCCACCTCACAAACTAAACCAAACCACCTTTACTGCCGCCAGTGTTGATAGGCATATCATAAATAAAATCTCAATTTAGTTCCTATCATCAGCGGTGCCCGTTTCACTTCGCTCCGGTGACCTACAACAAAGTGGTAGTCGGCCGCGAAAGTGGCCACCGCCCGCGCGCTGAATATTACATGTGCTCCCTTTATCTCTGAAACAATGAACACATGCATTTAGCACGCGGCCAACTATGTATTCCGCGCGTTTGCGGCCCTTGTTTCGAGTGGTGAACACACCCATGCTATCAGTTCCACCCCCAGTGGCCGAGGGATAGCAATGGGGCTCTCTATCCTCCAGTCCGCCTCTGTCTATGCTTTGGCTGGAGAGAGGAGAGGCACCGAGAGAGAGAGAGAGAGAGAGAGAGAGAGAGAGAGAGAGAGAGAGAGAGAGAGAGAGAGAGAGAGAGAGAGAGAGAGAGAGAGGGAGGGAGAGTATTTGATAACGGGTTACCTTCGAAAGACTTGAACTAAAAACAAGCAGCTATCACCAAACGTGACTGCACGATTATATGATACCTACCGGCAGAAAGACCGTCACACAAGCGTTCCTTCGATGACTATTTGTTAGTTTTGGTGAAGGTCACAGCGTAGGAGTGTGTTAATATTCCCTGATAGATTTTTCTGACTATGAGCGATCGGAGATTCAGAGAGATGCTGTCCTTTTGTCAGAAAAGACTATTTTGAATACTGTCTGCATGTTTCCCTGTTAATTACGTGGTCCGGAACAACTTGGATGAGGGCGTGACAGCTTATTATGCGGCGTCCTTTGAGTGGGGAAGAGGATAGAGGGAATGAAGAGCACGTGAGAGAGGAGGGGATGGAGTGGAAGGAACGAGAGGAGGTACAAGAGACGGATAGATTGAGAGAGAGGGAGAGAGAGAGAGAGAGAGAGAGAGAGAGAGAGAGAGAGAGAGAGAGAGAGAGAGAGAGAGAGAAAGAGAGAAAGAGAAAAAAGAGAAAAGAGAAGAGAGAGAGAGAGAGGAGAGAGGAGAAGAGAGAAAGAGAGAAGAGAGAAGAGAGAGAGAGAGAGAGAGAGAGAGAGAGAGAGAGAGAGAGAGAGAGAGAGAGAGAGAGAGAGAGAAAGAGAGAAAGAGAGAAAGAGAGAAGAGAGAAAGAGCAGAAATGGGGATGATGCATAACTGTAAGAAAATATGAAAGAATGCAAAAGGGACGAAAAAAGAGGGTTCCAACTATCTATGAAGCGAATAGCTCCCAAGCCTGCCTGGTGACACCACTCCGCTCCACCCCACTAACGCGACATGAGCCTCGGGGGCACACTCCGGTACACGCAGCAGATGGTGCGCGGTGCCGTCACGTAATCCAATCGGCCTCCAGCGAACACCCTGGCTCACTGGACAGCCTGCCGAGCTAACCGGGCTGATTGGCGAACGAAGACTGCCACCTGCCACCCATCGGATCATCACGGTCCATTCAGAGCTACTCCGACAGACCCCCGTCCGGTGCCGGTGATCGCCGGCCAGTCATTCCCCTCCCCGGGTCCAGCATTGTTTTCACGTGGTTAAACTCGACTCAGAGAAGCGAAAGTGCCGGGGAGTGATTTCGTTTACGAGCACAGAGGTGGCTAATGATACGTGTTTTCCCCACTGAGCGGAAGCCGTGGGGACAGCAGACGCAGGGGACGAGTCATATGAAGGTTTGGTTCACAGAGTGCACTGTCGGTAAAAGGGAAAGTATCGGTAAACGACGAAATGTCTAAGAGAGGGGAGGAGAGAGACATAGACAGAAAGAGAGAGGGAGAGAGAGAGAGAGAGAGAGGGAGAGAGAGGTTCAGAAAAAGAAAGATGACTAATGGCACGCACATCCCATGGCCGCTTGAGTAAAATCCCTAAAGTAAAGGCTACATGTCTTGGCCTTATCGATCTGTCTGCATCGATGGCAGTATGGCTACCACTTGCTCAATTGGTAGAAGTAACTATCCGCCATCCAGTCACCCTGGGACCATGTGGTGACCACTGAGGCATCCATCGGTCAGTCCCCGGTCAGCAGAGGGCAGGGGTCAGGTCTGGGCCCGTCGACCGGCCGCGGGAGCCACTGCCGCTCCTGGGAGCTCCCTGGTCCACCACTGGACGGTCCCATGACCTGCACTGACCCATCGTAACCTCGAGGATGTCCGTGACCCCAGTGGCTCCACTGATCGCCCGGACCGGGCAGACGTTGTGATAGCCGTGTGACCCCGTGTGATTGACGGGGACCGTGGTGGCGCTGTGACCTCTGAGTGGTCCCGGCGGACCACCGTGGGACCACCGTGGGACCATCGTGACCTCCAGAGGTCACTGACCGGGTCGGAGTGCCGTCCTGCTGCTGACGTCTCACACAGTATGACCGCTCCACGCCCAGCAATGATGGTCATAAGACAGAAGGCAGTAAGGGTAATTGAAGGTCTGTTTTAATTTCTTTCTATACCGTCCACCGATCCAGCCTACGGACCTAGCATCTTTTAAAATCATCTCTAATAATTCTCCGTCTGCACGCCGCAAAATTCCTTCTGTCGTTCCACAAACCGACCTCCTATTAAACAAATTGCCTTCTTGCCCACTGACTGGCTAGAACTTCCTTCTTTTACCGTCCCGTAGTCCTTCCGTAAAAAAATAATTTTAACCCTCGCCCTGGCAGGGGGGGGTCGATGCGACCCCCCCTAAGGTTTTTCGAAGATAGCGTAAAAACGGCGGCGCACAGCGCCGCCAAATTTGGCACAGCCTATGGGGCAACCTTTTTACATATGACCTGAAAATTTCAGGTCCGGGTGACCTTGGGTCAGGTCACCAGGTCAGAAAAAACGGTACAAGGTCATGGTCAAATTTCAATTTTCTTTTTGCACCTGTCCAACTCACAGTTTTGCACTGATTTCCTTCAAACTTTCAGGATGTGCTAAGTTCACCGATTTGTATAACATATAGTTCGGGTTTTTTGAGGTCACTGACCTGAGGTCAGTTAGAGGTCATTACGTCGTAATGTTAAGCCTATGGGAAAATACTAAATTCGGAAAAAAACTGGAGATATCCGCTTCGTTCTATCACTTTTGTGCTTTGAAACCACAGTACTTAACAGCAGGTCACTTGGTGCTTCTTTGTTTGGTGTACTTATCCATGGGTCAGGTCAAATGAGGTCAACTGAGGTCAAATGACGTTTTTGCCAATAACTTGGCACATAATGCTGCTAGAGCTTAAAAAAATGATATCATTGTGTTCCTGGTGATCAGCCGAATCGAATGATATGCGATATGATGCAATTTGGTTAACTTTAACTTAATTTATTAATTTAAGTTTACTTAAAATTTAAGAAAAACTTTAAGTACACTTAAAGCTAAAAGCTAAAAAGTATATCATTCGACGAGCCTTGACGTGCTGAGTTCACTGATGCTTTTCTTTTTGCTCTATCTTAATTAGATCAAAAGTTATAAGCGAAAAACTTTTGACCTGTTTTTAGCGAAATTTTTACATCTATACCCCCCAAAACCCCTCTAAATATTGACCTAGAGCAACCAAATTTGCACAGGGGCGAGAACTCCAGGGGGCCCACCTACCTACCAAATTTGGTG